TGCAAGTGTGGGCCCCATAACATTAATGCCAGTATTATGGGAACAAATTCAAGGAATGTTATGTCCCTGATGATTGGCTGATCTTTCCAATCCCTTGGCCACCCAAAAAATGCCCAACTGCCTCCAAAATAAGCACCACAACCCAAGTCAGCTGACCCAGCACTATCTGTATACAACTGAAGGGTATCACTATCACACCAAGTTGACTCTGGGAAATATGCTTGCCCGTCAAAAGTATCTAGGAATTCCAACCACATGATCATATCATCGCGCATGCCAGAGTTTACTCGAATATAATGAAAAGGTTGGGACACCTTAGACATAGCATCATAAAATCTGCGCAAAAAGGCCCGCCCTGGTCTAATAGCACGACAAAAGAAACACAAACTTCCCACCAGTGATTCCAAATCCTTGAGTGTAACCTTGTTACACTTGGAATACCTGTAAAGCAATTGATACAACTCCTCGGCTTTATGAGATGGGATACGAATGACCCTGTTCACTGTATCAATTTCCAGGCCTAAAAATATCAGGACTGTGACAGGCCCCACTGACTTTTCATGGGCAATAGGAATTCCCAATTCCAGACACACGCTTGTAAAACTATGCATCAAAACCGAACAATCATCTGAATCACTACTCCCTGCAAACAAAAAATCATCTAAATAATGGTCCAACGTGTCTAACCCTGTCCTAAATGTAACGTGCCAATGCAGAAAAGTTGCAAAATTTTCAAAACACCTGCAAGAGATGGAGCACCCCATGGGCAAACACTTATCTATGTAAAATTGCCCATTAACTTTAAACCCCAATAAGTCAAAATCTCCCGGAAAAATAGGAAGAAGTCGAAAAGCAGATTTTACATCCATTTTTGCCAATAATGCCCCTTCCCCTAAATTACTAACCATGTCTAGCACCTTATCAAACGATGAATATTTGACAGACGAGAGATTCTCATCAATGTAGCTGTTAACCCCCTTACCCAATGGATGTGACAAATGGGTGATCATTCGCCATTTTCCAACAGCTTTAGGAACCAGCCCCACTGGTGATAACCTAAGGTTAGCAATTGGTCTATTTTTAAATGGCCCTATAACCCGACCTTCCTCAATTTCCTTCTCAATTTTTTGTTGAAGCTCCAAAGGATGGTCAGACGCCGATACCAGATTATTACACTGCGTAGGGTGCCTTGGTCCTGTATACTGCAATTTGAAACCCGTTGAAAACCCCATAGCTAATTCATGTGCAACCTTTACAAGTGGGTAGTCAGCAAGACAAGCCCGGAGTCGGTCAATCTTAATAGGTGTTCGACCCAGGTCCCATAAACCTGTTGCCCCGTCCCCTACCACGAAATGCCTGTTGGTTGTACCCTTGGTTGTGACCCGGTTGATTTGGGACTGCCGCCCTTGGGTATGGAGAACGGAGTTGGGAAAATCTTGGCTTAAAAATGTGTTGACCTGACCCGGTTTGGTTAAATTTTGGCTGAGAATTTTTTTGACCTGCCCCCCACCCCCCCACCCCCGGCAGCATTACATAAAGTCGCGGAATGATTCCCCCCCACACTGTGTACATGCATGGACATAGGACATGGACTTTTGAAGCATGAACCTTTATAGTTGAAATCAAAACACCTGAGTCTCCCCTGTTGACTGATGGTCGCAGGGGCAGAAGGACGGGTGGGGGCAGTTTGACCTGTCATACATAGGAGCCAAAGCTCCATGTCCACAGCTGCCCAGGAACTATCCGGGTCGAGAGCTTTCCTGAGCCAGAATTGCTCGTCGTACC